AGTCTCTGTAAACAAAGTGCAGACAAAAATAATGGAGCAAGAATACAAGATCATGCTCACTAACCTTGCAAGACTTGACGCTGCTCAGTTGCAATATCTTGATAACACCAAGGCACAAATTTTGGCATCAAAGTGGTAGGAGGTGCGAGTGCACATGGCAGCCTGGATGGCTACGGTACTGGGAGTGGCAATGGCAATGGAAGTCATTAGTGATGTTTTATGATTGATCTTCGCATTTATGCTTTATGTGTTGATGTCCTTGTCTAGGTGAACAATATGTTGCATGTTTGATCTTCATGTCTTAACTGTTTGTTATGTCTACTTTGAACAATTTATCGGCTACTTTGCATGAATACTTGGATACGTATCGGATACGGGGTACGGAGATACGCCTGGCACTACAATTTTCTAAAAACTAGGATACGGAGATACGTTTGTATGTACATATTAATTACTAAAAATGAAAAAACAATTGATAGGAAGCGTACTGTTTTACTGAAGTCATCGCAAGTGCTTAACAAATACTGCATTTTTTTAGTTAATTCATTCTTCCTTCGATGGACAATGTCGATGGTTCAACATAATTGCTTAACAAATATGGTAATCAGATCGCAATTCTCACATCAAATTCACACCCACATAGTCGCATAGATAGATAAATAGCATAATTTAGGTTCGGGTTCTCATACTACAAACCAGTCCACAAATGAAAACAAGAGTTCACAACCAGTTCACAAGTAAAACAGGAAGTTTTCACGTTGAACGAAGGGGTTGTGGCTTGTTTCACCTCATGATCTGCATATCGTCGAGTAATAAAGTGTGTTTCCCTCAATTTTTTCAGTGCTGTAACTTCAAATGTAAAAGTAGAACATAAATATTCTGTCTAGTTCCTATTTTGCATATTCTATGGTTACTCTGGTTTTGTTTTGTTGTGGGTGTCTTGCCGAGCACAAATATTTTTTAGCTTCAGTAAGTCAAGTTTCATCCCATTCCTAGTTCAAAATTTTCTGATCAAGGTTGAAAGTTATAGTCTCCTATGAGCATTTTGTTTAAAAATAGCGGCTAATCATCAAACTTCCCGTGCAAACAGCAGAAGTTAAATTTGCACAACATACAGAAACAGCAGTGAGAATCCCTTCTCTTTGCTATACTGTCGCAGCAAAATATACAGCATTCGCGCAAGTAAAAAATTGTTATGATAAACCCCACACATGCAGCTAAGCTGAACTCACATAGACGTATCCAGCAATGAATCCATCAAAATCACAGGATTGCTGTCTCTCGGTTTCCAAATCCTATCTGACCTTGCTTTCGAAAGAATACCGGCGAAAAATCTTGACGATGAAGAAAAAGAAGGGGGTGGGATGAACTCAGTTGACAGCCTGTTTGAGCCGTATTCTATAGCTTGTTCTAGTGCCACGATTTTCGTGCCTGTGCTGGCACTCTTACCACAGGGGCAGACACTAATTTTCCTGAAGCATTGTTTGTGGAAAATTGACCCACAAGAACCACATCTTGTAGCTTCATCTTCCTGAAATTAACATAAAAGTTTTCCTTAGGAATGAAGATGAGGCTGCTTAGAAATCATAAATCGAAGATTCGGCAGCGCACCTGAAATGGAAAAATAAGGGCCAGGGGGTCATCACAAGCTTGTCGAGCAGCACAAGGAAAGCCAGCATCATAGCACACAAGGCATTGCTCCGTGATATGTTCAAGTATCCTATTTGATACGGTCTGCACCTTAACTGGAAGTGCTGTGTCAAGAACAGATTTTGTATCAGTTATGCAGGAAACACCTTGAGATTACGATTTCAACTTCTATCTAATGGCTTGCTATTTTTAGTCCAATTTTTGTATCATCAAACGTTAGTCAGAACAATAACCACAGGACCTTGCATATGAAACATCCATATCAAACGTATGTTAGAAACAAAAAAAGATATTCACGATCTAATTATTTCTTCTAGACGAGATACTCAGGGATGTTGCGGAAGCTGAAGCTCCTTAGAACAGGGTCTCAGTATCCTAACTTCAATAGTTCTAAGCAGGCTGCAATTTCTGTTTGATATACCAAAATAATGAAGAAATAGCGAGCAAATATTAATCTGATTGACATGTGTACATCTTTTACGCCACCACCAAAGCATGTCAGCTAAACTCTCACACACTAAACAAATTTAACCTCGCCAGCAACAAAATACATGTACATCTTTTACACTGTCGTCAATTGATAAAGGTCACAAACTCAATAACATATAAGTTCATGGATGAGAAATACCTGCAAAAGCTCCCTTCGAGAGATCGACAAGGTCACGAAGCGCAAAAAAGTCATTCCCATCAAGAAGGTATCTTCGAACTCCTAATCCTCTAAATATGGAGTTCTGAAAAGGACATTGGAGACAAGGAAGCATGGCAGCTATTTTCTTCCGGATACTCATGATGTTAAGCAGAGCAGGCACTTTAGCAAAAAGGAAAGGGTTGACAGCAGTTACACAGAGCATAGGCTGAAAATGAAAAAAAAAACAATCCATTTAATAGGGCCAAGGCAAAGCACACAAGTAAAATTATTATATTCTGTGGTACATTCCAGGCACGGTATGAATAAACAAGAATTAACAAACTAAAGAAAAACATAGAGTAAGTATCTCTACCTGGTCATAGATGGAGTCCAAAAATGCTTTTGCTAGCTGGGAAACTGGATATAAAGAAAAATCCCAGTGGTGTAAAACTCTTGCTGGCAGAACCGCGGTATCATTTGTGTGACAAGAGGCACAAAATAACTGTCCAGTGTAAGCACAAAACCGAGGCTTGTTCCATCCAATAGTTTGTACAAGTTCTTGCAGCAATGTTCGTCCAGCATCCAAATGCCTATGACATCCCGCACAATTGTAGTGTTGAAACTCCAACAACTGTCTAGTCGACTTCTGAGGCCTATCCTCCACAACAAGTGATATCGTCTTGCCCATCGAGGTAGAATCCTTGTGCAGAGCTCCATTGCAGTCTGAATCTTTGGTATGTAAATCGCTGCTCAGCCTTTTCAAAGATCGCGGAAAAAGCATCTTTAAAAAGCTTTGTTCATAAGCAGGTGTCCCCGGTGACAAAAAATTAACCAGAGGGGAGGGTGTTCCAAAGGGATAATTAGAGGCGAGCAAAGAGCATAAGCAGTCTTGAATAAGACCACTTCTTCCATTGACAACATCTGGGGATGCATTCCCAAACATTTTACTGGACTCTTTCTCAACATTTATCCATGTGGGTGGAAGACTCAATCCTTTCTCAGAAAAGAAGAGCTTGAGTTGTTGATAAAGTGCATAAAATTCACGGTATCGACGCTCAATTTCCCACTCATCTTCGCCACTCCTCACTTTCAACAAGTATACAGTGTACTCTTTGACCCCAACCATCCGCTCGCCGAAAGAAACATCCCCTGTTCTTTGCTTTGCCCCCACAACCTCCACCGAATCAATTTTCGAAAGATTGCGAGAAAGGGGATATACATATGCATCATCTGTACCAGTGGTAGAGGCAGTGGTGCTGCCATCTCTGAAATGCTGATTTTGGTGAGCATTATTAACGCGGTTATCAGTAGAAAGTCCACTTTCACGCGGCTCCCCTGAATTGAGTAAAATCTGTTCCATCTCTTGAACCATATCATCAAATAAGTCACTTTCATCAATGTTGTCCACCTATAATTGGAACGAGATACATCAGTCTAAGAACGCAGTTGAAAACACATTGATTTATACTATACTCCCTCCGTCCCCCAAAAGAAGGCCAGTAAATTTTGTCTCAAGTCAAATGGTACAAAATTTGACCATATTTGTAGAAGGAACTATTAACAACTACTCCCTCTGTCCCACATATAAGAGTGTTTTGGAGTATACAATACTAAAAAGATATAATATGGAAATATATTTTATTGTCTATTTGGTGATACCAATTTTGTGTTTTACATGCTAATAATTTTTTCTACAAACTTGGGTTAAACATTGCACCATTTGACTTGAGACAACAATTATACGCCTTGTTTTTGGAGACGGAAGGAGTAACACACAATTTGATCAAGCAAGGGAGCAACAGCAAGCCATCTACTTATTTCCTTTTCATGTAGAAGACCACAAAGAGTCTGACTATCTAGACCTGATACAAATTGTAGAGTTATCGTCTATCAAACGATGCACGACCTACAGAGTTGTGCTAGTAGCACTAGCAAGCCATCTACTTCTACATTTTGTCCACTTTATTTCAATGTGTTGCTTTGAATCATTCAAGGTTAACTAAAGCTAGGTGTAATCCAGTTGAGAAATGGATGAGTATCACAGTATTGAAACCGCAGAAGTGGCTGTAAACTCTATAAACGGTGACCAAAAATACCCCCAACCCCAAGCACAGTTGCTCCTAGAAACTACAAAAATCATCTTTGTTTCCGTGGAAACAACTTGGCCCTATCCCGCAAGTGCGATTGTGCAGAAATGATAAGCCAAACAGGGGGATGGAACGCATCCACACATCCATCTACGCAAGCAATTTACTTTGCTACTCCCTCTGTTCCGTTTTATAAGTCATTTTAGAGAATTCAGTACAAAATTTCGTAGTTCAAACATTTTCTGCACTTTCCACAAATATCCCTGGTCGGAGAGTGGTACCTGAAGACGCCGTAGTCGTCCTCTCGGGGCGCCCACCATGGCAGCGCGCTTTGGGCGACCTGAAGCGAGGCGATTAGCTGCCGGTGACCTCGATCTGGGGGGCGGCGCCGGCTGGCCTGGGCGACCTGAAGCGAGGCGATTGGCGGTGCCGGCGACTTGAAACGAGGACAGCCTGGGCCGAGCTTGGGCGACCTAGGGAAACGACCTGGGGGCGACGCCGGCGATCTGCGGGAGACCTGAAGGGAAGGGGGAGATGGCCTGGTAGAGGCGAGGAGCTGCTGGGGGAGGCCGATCTGCTGGATCGCTTGCGTGTGTTATTCTGAAATTTGGCTGTATTAATTACCTGTGTAGGAGTATTTTGGAACAGGGGTAAACATGTCACTTTGCTGGTTTTTGGAGTTGTCTGAAAAAGCCAAAACGACTTATAATACGGAAGGGAGAGAGTAAATGTTAACGCTACCTCAACAGGATGAGTGCGTGGCAGAAGAGCCGGTGTATCAAAACCCAACACCGCCGCAGGAGAGCCGCGGTGGGAGAATCTGGTCGTGGTGCGTGCGGTTGGTGGAGGCGACTCAGTTGGTGGCTCCTAGGAAAGTTGGCGATGAGGTTGTCCATGAGAAGGTCCATCTGGTGGTCCCAGAATTCGGAGGAGGGGCGGGGGGTGGCGATGGAGCTAGGCGTCCTGAGCGCGGAGCTAGCGTTGCAATACCTCTCGTCCTCGGCGTCCGATCCGGGAGGCAAGAAGCCGTCCGACGAGGAGTTGCCGGTGGATCGCCGGGCTGTCTCCATGCTGGATCCCGCCGTACTTGTCCTACCTAAGGATTGCCAGTGATTTTTGTGACGATGTCTCTTCACGGTGGAAGACAAATTTGCACGACGGTCCCTATACTTATGTCTTCTCTTGATTCAGAAGGTCTGACACGTCAACTAGACCTCCTGCTAGACATGATCAGGATGCCATGTCAGCAACCAACTATGACATGACTTTGCTCTTTTTTGCAGCAATGATAAGGTATTGCTCATAAGGGTGATGAGGACATCAATACTACAGTTATACCCACGATCCCTGCAGCTACATATACTGGACCAATTACTAGAGCTCGCGCACGCCAATTAAATTATCAGGTACTTTTGTTTCTTGGTAATGATTCTAATGTTGCTGAGAATATGATGCTGCCTAAATTGGATACGGTTGTTTTGCTTACAAATGAAGGGTCTAGCTTGAACAAGAAGGATGAACATTGAAGCAAGATCAAGCATGGAGATGATAGCACGCGCAAAGGGAACAAGAACAGAGTTTCAAGTGAAGCCACTGTAATGAGTGCATGAAGGCTTCGACAAAATATATAAGATGCTACTTCATAAATTTCGTCCAGAGACTATTATAGGTGCCGCCTCACCTTATTATTGGGCCAGGCCCATGGAATTTCGAAATACTTTAGTGTATGTTGTTTTTAGAGTTCGTATGTGTGGGGAAACAGAGTTAGGGTTGGTTTCAGATCCCTCCTTCAAGGGGTCACGAAATTCCCCCTTATTCCTTCATATATATATAACCCTTAGGACGTCGTTTAGACTTTAGGTTTTATTTAGATTAAAGTTCGCCATAGCTGCAACTTCACGTACTTCATTTGTGTTCAACGACCAAACCAAGACGTCATAGAACCCCACCTTGATCAATAAAGCTTTCTTTTTATATTCGCAATATCTAGATAACAATCTCAGTTTCTTACTTGTTCATCGTTTGCTTGCTGAAAATAGACCCTCGTGGTCAGGTTGATCGTGCTCCAGTGTGGTCAATAACCTCTTGGAGTTGGTTTAGCGATTGATAAGACGCGACGTCCTTGCACGTTCGTAGTCGGATCGTCAAAGTCTACTCCGAAAATGATAACCACCATCTCATCGAAAGACGAGTCACCTTTGTCTCTATCAAGTGGTATCAGATTTCCAGGTTGCTCGGTGAGATTTTACTAGTTTTTCGTAATCTGGATTGCATATGTCTTCCTACCTACAATCTACAAAAAAAGCAAAAAAAATTAGGGTTAGTTCATCATATCCAAACCAGTCTAAGCCATTGCATAATCTTTTTAGTATTTTGCTTTGTTGAATTTATGGTTGCATCGTCGTATCAGGTTGCTGGTCTTAGCGTCTAATCCTTTAGAGTTTTAAGTTCTGTTCACAAGTTGTCACGCCGCCGCCGCACCATCGTCATCACCGCTGCCATATACGACTATCGCATATCCGCCGCTCATACGAGTCCACCTCCCATACTAGTCCATCGCCATCACGCAAATCCGAGTCCACCTCCATTGCAGATTCGCCACCAGTTCGTGTTCCACCACCCCGACATATATCCACCACTAGTCTGAGTTCCACCAGATTCTTCTCTGCCACTAGTCCTATCCGAGTCCAGTATTTGTTCCTTTGTTTTTGAGTTCTAGATCACGACATACTATGAGTCGTGGCCAAGTCGGACTCCCCAACTTCCATGCCACCCGCAGAAGAAAAATAGTTCCAATTAAAAAACTAAGTCTGGAAAATTCTGGCTAGGCAGTTTTAGACAATTTGTAGACTTTTTCGAAAAAAAAATTGCAGAGCAAAAAAAGGCAAAAAGCAAAGAAAGATTTTTTTTCAGAATGTGCTCCTCCTTTGTTTACATGCAACGCCATGATTTTATTAGTGTTCTAGGCTCGCGTCTCGGCACGGTCTAGCCTAGGACCAACATAGTACCGTCTTTGAGCATTTATTCAACTTTGGATCCTTGAATTGATTATCGCTGACCCTTTTTGCGACCATATTATAAGCCTTCCCAACTCCACATACATCTACGTCGTGCGTTTGATACCACCTGGCAATCGCTCTATCCAAGCTTTGAGAAGTTTTGACTACCACGGGTGCCGATCACCACCCGCTATTTGGTAAGAATGGGTAAGAATTTGAGATTGGCTTGACAGATTTGTGATTCTCCACCACAACACCACCACTTCCTAGTAGTCTGTAGGACCATATTCTTGTGTGTTTCTACTATTGCTAACCATGGCAGGATCACAAGCCGATGAGACTAACAGGGAGAACATGACGAACAAGGCATTTCATGATAAATTTCAACCAATGATGACTGAACAGGTGCAAGATGTGCAGATTTGAAGAGGCCATGGAGAAGATCGATGGCATTGAGAAGACGTTTGAAACAAAGCTAGATGGCAAGTTTAATGAATTGGTCGTGTGTCTTCCACAAGCACCACCGGCTGCACCTGTCGCACCTCGGCAACAATGACAACAACATCAGCAACAATAACAACCACCTCCACGTCACTCCAATCAAGTAGGAGGAGCAAAGCGTGTTTCCCTTGAGCCCGACGAATGTTGTGGTGTCGCCGCAACTACTGCTGATGCTTCTGCGGCTCCTACTGCTACTGCCGACGAGTACGACGAATACGAGGGTGATTACGAGGATGGGGTTGTGCCAAAGCAGAACTACGTGCAACCACTAGCACCACCACCAGGTTGTCCTCGTGCATATAATTGCAATGATAGGGCTAACCACCACCTCAGGTACGAGATTATGAGCATATTCCTAAAATGAAATTGAATATTCCACCGTGTGAGGGTAGAAACATTCCTGATGTCTATCTTACTTGGGAGTTCAAAACTGAACAACATTTCACATGCTTACAATATCCCGAGGATAGACGTATTGCTGTTGTTGTTTGTGAATTCACTAGTTTTGCTTCTGTTTGGTGGTCTAAACATTGTAGATTATATCATGATAATATCCCTACTACTTGGGTTGCTTTGAAAATTGCTATGCTACTTGTTAGGTTCCACCATATTATCAACGTGAATTACTCCAAAAATTGCAGCATTTAAAACAAGGCAAAAGTTTGTAGAGGAATATTATGAGGAATTACAAACTAGCATGATTAGATGTGGTATTGTTGAGGATAATGAAGCTATGCTTGCATGTTTTATGGGTGGATTAAATAGAGGTATTCATACCATTCCAGAGTATAAGGAGTATAATAACATCACTCGTTTATTCCATCTTGTTTGCAAAGCTGAATGTGAAGTGCAGGACCGACATGCATTGGCGCGAACTAATTTTGGAGTGCACCGGGAAGAGTTCTGGAGTGCACCGGCAAATCATGTGGTCACCGGAAGGGGTTTCGGACACCCCCGGTAGGTGTATGGGCCTAATGGGCCAAAGGAGGGGACAGACCAGCCCACAAGGGGGCTAGTGTGCCCCTTCCCTAGCCGGCTGGCCTTAGGGGAAGGAAAGGGGAGGGGTGGCTCCTCCTGCCTTTACCTCCTCATGTGAGAAAGGAAAGGGGGGGCCCCACCCTCCCCTGCCTTCCTCCCGCACCCAAATAAGGAAGGGGGCGCAGCTTGGGGAGGACCCCAAGTAGGACTCGACCTACTTGGGAGTGCCTCCTGGCTTCTCCCCTCTCCCCCACCTATATATATGTGGGAGGGGGTGCCACACAGAACCACACCAATCTCTTAGCCGTGTGTGCCCTCCCCTCATAGTTTTGTCTCTCGATCATATTTTCGCAGTGCTTAGGAAAAGCCCTGCGGAGATAGCATCACCACCACCATCACCACGTCGTCGTGCTGCTGAAACTCATCCACTACTTCACCATTTTGATGGATCAAGAAGGCGAGGATGTCACCGAGTTGAACGTGTGCTGAACACGAAGGTGTCGTACATTTGGTACTTGATCGGTTAGATCATGAAGAAGTTTGACTACATCAACCGTGTTAACAAACGCTTCCGCTTACGGTCTACAAGGGTACGTAGACACACTCTCGGATGCGACCGTCTCTGCTATGGTGGCAACGGACATTTCGAAGACTAGCCAAGGACAGAAGGAGATATATGTCATACCAGCTAGGCGTCAGGGGAAAAGTATACATGTAGTTATTCAAGATGACACCCGTGCCACCGACAAGGTTCAGATCATACCAGCGAAGGAAGTGAAGCCGACATTCAGGACTCCATGCAATTTTTTGATAATGGGCAAAATTCATCTGAAGATAAATTG